GGAAGAGATTTAAAATGAGGAGCAGATAAAGATGGACGCCTCTGTTCTGGAAAAGCCTCTATAGAAGCATCTAGAACATGATGGAGAACCTGAGCATCTCCTCCATCAGCTGCTGGAGGAGCTGATGGAGCTCCTCCAGACCATCTTCAGGTATTTATAGAAACATTTTGATGTGATTCAGCTGAAGCCTCCTAAGCTTCAGTCTCCCTGCAGCTCTTCCTGCTGATCGTCTGGTCAGTCTGATCTTCTCCTCTACCTGGACCCGCCTCCATGTTACCCCCCCCCGGCCCTCCACATGAACATCAGTGATGGCGAGGCGTGTTTGATGCAGAGCGGCGCTCCTCTGCTTATGTTCCTCCTGGAAATGAACCCAGCTGACCTGTCACAGCAGCAGAAGAAGGAGCAGGGAGACGTCTCCACCCCCCTGAACTTCCCGGAGGTCGGGGCGTCCGTACACTCGGCTATAAAGGCGTGCAGGTCGGTGATGTGGATCGCTTCCTGGGTTTGGTGCTGAAAGCAGAAAGCAGAGCTCTACTACACCTGGATAAAAAGGAGAACCGGTGAACGGGTCAGGGACTCACCTTGATGGTCTCATAGGCGCCTGTGATGAGGGCGATGAACAGAGACAGCACCATGTAGATGAACAGGGAGATGAAGGTGTAGAGGTAGAGCTGGCTGAACACCCACACCAGGGTGCTGCTCTCCTGCATCTCTGAGAACGTCACAAACATGTCGTCGCCGTTGATGAGGGAGAACAGGCACTCCGACACCATCGACAGCGAGCGAAACTGTAAGGAGGGAGAGCGACGTTTATAAACCAGACGCCATGATGCTGCTCAGGAAGGAGCTTCTCTGGTTCCATCACAAACTAAAGCTTCTGCTCCAAAACCAACACTTTACATGCACCCTGAACGCACCGTCCCCACCGTAAGGCACGGTGGTGGCAGCATCATGCTGTGAGAATGGGGTGAACTACAGATTCCAGAGATCCAAACCTCTAAAGCGTCATTCTGTAAGAGGCGGATCTATGATGGACGGACTGTGGCTGAAAACCTTCCAACCTTCCAGGACCGAGCATCCCGCCCTCACGTCACTTCACTAAACATTTCTTAAAATAAATTAATCTGCTGATAAAAATTAATAAAGAAATTACTAAATTATATAAATAAACTTCTATTTAGTTTTATTTATATTTATTAACTCATTACTAAGAGCATTTATTTCATTTTGAATCAAACACTTCATTTTTAATGAAAGTCACTTCCTCTAAATCTTTAACTGCAGTTAAAGAATAAATAAAATAAAAAACTTTTAGCAGAATTCTACTTTCCTTAATTATCCTTTAAATTTGGGTTAAAAACCAACAATTCTAAAATAAAAACCTTCAATGCAGCGATAGAGTTGATCTCTCCAGGTCAGCCAGGCCAACTATGACCTTAACGACCGCCTTTTCAGAGGAATAGGCCAGTATCGGGTGTTTCAGGCCAATAATGACCTCAGTGACCTCCATCAATAAGGGGCGGAGCTTGTTTTCCAGTTTATAATGTGTATTTTTTCTAAGCCATTAAAGGCTTTTATTGGGCTGCTCTATAAAGCTCTGAACTGTTTTCCTNGCAGCAGGTTATTTAACTGACTAAGGTTTCTATCATTACATTTGATTTGATTGGTTCCTGCTCCCGGTGGGTGGAACCTTTATTCCACTCTGGATTAAATCAGTCTTTGTTCACTTTACAATAAAAAAGAAATAAAGAAACAAACAAAACCTCGGTTTTCATTCTTTTCCTACTTGGTGTATCAACTTTCACGGTTGCTAAGCAACAGAGCCTATGGCAGTAAAACCCTGTTTGAATTCACAGCCAGAACTCTTCCGGTCTCCTTATTTTCAAGGACTTCGAAGGATCCAGTCCAGGATTTCCAACAGAGCCATTATTGAATGGTTGTTTATCTCTTTGCTGCTCTGCGATTGACTGGAGACCTGTTTGACCCCACTGGTCTGCAGACAGCTGGAGACCAGCACCACTATGGATGATGATGGAAGAGGCTTCCCAGCATTCAATGCAGGACCAGCAGGTTCTGCAGCAGCTTCTTCCCCACCGCCTTCACACTGAATAAACTCTAAATCACGACACAGACTCTGCATCACACCAAAGCAACATACTGCAGATCTGCAGCATAGATATTCATGCTCTGAACTTCCAGATCTATGAGTTTTTTCTCCATAACTGTTTCCATTCTGATCGCTGCTGATCTAAATGTTCATTTCACTGCTAAGCTGCTCATTCAGTCTGACAGCTGGACTAAACCAAATGACAGCCTGTATAGAAAATGACCATAGAAGCTGTCTAACACAGAGACCTTTGCTCCCTCTACTGGTGAGGTAGCAGAACTACACCATGACTCCAACAAATAAACAGAACCAGAAACCAGAGGAAATGATGGAGGCGCCAGAACTTTTAATTAGTAATTTAGCAACTGGAATAGATCATTATAAACTAGATATGACACAAAGCAGCGACACTTTAAACTGGGACTTAAATAAAGTACAGGCACATCAACACAAAAACTAAAGCAAAGAAAAGAACATTTTGGTGATAAAGGACAACATAAAGACAGACAGAGCATCCTTCATTAAAGCCACTGATAAAAAAGGCACTTTTTCATTTTTTTCTTAATATCTGACCATATTTAGCTTATTTTGGACCAAATGGGAGACAAACGAGTTCATCCTGGACCAACCAGAGCTTGGCGTCTTCACTGCTATTGTGCTAAAGCTAATTTATTCAGGTCTCCAAAAGGACAGCTGGACGTTAATAAAGAGCATAAAAAAGAATCAGAATGACGAGGCTTTGTTAGCTCTTCTCTGCCGTCGGTTTCCATCATTGTTTTCATTCTGAGTCCAGCTATTCAGGTCAGATCCAATCAGTTAACGGTCAGCGGCCGCCTCGCCGTGGGGGAGGGGGGGGGTCGCTTTAAAACATTTTAACTTCCAATTATTCTGGCATCATGAAACAGGTGCAGATGGTTTAGAGAAAGACTCGTCGCTCTGCAGGACTCTGGCCTGAAACAGGAAACGCAGGACGATGCAAAGCTTCACACTAAATGATGCTCAGGCAGCATCAATAAGTTCCTGTCATTTTATCCTCATTATTTTTATATCGTAATACTAAAATTGGACATAATAATGCATATACTTGGAAACTTTATAAAACAGGGAAAAAGGAATAAAAAACATAAAAACATTCAGCAGCAGCGGAACCAGAGCTTTTCTATCACTTCTGGCCACTTGGTTTCTGCACCGACAACACAGACAGAAATACTGAGTTTTGCTGTAAAACAACTAAAAACGAACAGAAATGTTTGTGCAGCGAGTTTCAGTCATCCTGATGCTCAGACAGCAGCAGCTTCTCTCAGTCTGTCCTTCATGGACTCAGCAGACAGAAACATCCAGCTGATGGAGAATCCTCCTTCACTGCTGCATGTTGGAACCACATGAACGCTGATCTGCTGTTTAATGTTTAAATGAAGTGTGCAATACACCCAGCAGGACAGCAGGGGGAGCCGGTGAGCTAGAGGTCATCCTCAGTTCACCAATAGAACATCTTCATATGTTGTTGTTCTAAAAAAAAAAAGAGAAAAAGGTTT